TCACAGTGCTTTCAACAGAGCAATGCACGCAATGGATGTCCAATACTCATTTCTGAATGCAATAATGTACATTTTCTGTGCCATGATTTACTCTTATAAAAACGACACACAGCACAAAGACACAGGCTTATTGTAAATACATTTTTTTCCTCCTTGAGACTTCACAGGGCACCGACAGCATAAGATAGAGAGCAACAGCAGAAACCCAGGGAATGTGGGCATTCAAAAGGTTTGCTAAGTGTAGTGGCCAGAAGTCTTCACTATGGCCATGCGGGAGGACACACAATAGTCTGTGGAGCTGATCCAAGGGTAGCTGATGCTTGAGCTCCTTACAACAGCCCAACTTTTGATGTTTCCTCTTTTGCAAAAAAGAAAGTAAGGAAAGAAAGGATGAAAATAAAGAAAGGAGGAAGAAAGAAAAGAAAGAAAGGACATGGAAGTCATTTGGAACTAATTATTAATATGAACAATAGGATTTTTTGGATATTTTATTGAATTCTGTAAGGAACATTTGCAAAGAAAACACTTAAAATCCAATGACACATTTAAAAAATAGATCAGATGAAAATATCACATAATCAAAACTCACAGGTATTTTCTGATATTTACTTAAAAGGCCCAAAATTATTAGGACAAGAACATCAGAGAACATGATACAAGATCTTATTTTAACTTTACATTAATATATGATAAGTTAACACAATTTAATATCAAAAGAAGGCATATGGAAAATATAAAATATGTTTGATTTTACATCTTATTCTGAATTTCATTGTTATTGTCATTGTTTAGGAATAATTATTTCATTCCATACAAAATAATACTTGCTTGACTTATTTGTTTGATGAAGAGAACTAAATTTTATGTTCGAAAATTTAAATTCTGATATAATAAGCATAAGTTCCATTTAAATATTCACAGTAACACTGCATTGCTGATCAGTAAAAGTACAGCATGTATCACAGACTGTTGACTTACAAGGGAAAGCAGTAACAGTGTCTTTCTGTTGTCTAAGAAAATAATAAAAATGTAGTATCGTGTCAAGGATTAGCACACATAAATGCCTTCCATATTCAAACTGAGCAGTCATTAGATTTTAATTTTATCTGAGAAAATCCTTAAGTGAATTTTTAAATATGTTGGAAAATTTTTACCAAATATTTTCACTACAAAGAAATAACCAGCAAATTATACATGTTAATAACACTGTTATCTATTCTTGATAACCAATTCTCTTTGAATAGTTACAGGAAATAGTGAATTTTCTTAAAATAAAGGTAGTTTTACTCCCCACTCTCTTTTCCTTGTCTTCCACTAATCACAGAATACATGTAATTTTTTTTAGAAAATGCTGAAAAATAGTTACTAGAGTGGGATTTTTTTTCCCCCTCAGAATCAGAATGACTGCAGTTTCTTTGGTTGATTATTGCTTCTTTCAACTGTTCAGAAATCAGTCATTGTGATGGATTTTTTAAAAGGGAAATCAGAAAGGCCAGTGAAGATCACTGAAGATCATTTTGCAGTTTTGCTTTCTGATATCAAATAAATTTAGTGTCTGTGGTCAGAGTGTGTGAACTTAATATGTTTTAAGTGAAAAAATGTTTGGATAATACCCTGTGGAAGCACAATAGTTGAAAGTATCTAAAGAGGTCTGACAATAACAGCAACAATGCATTTTTGCTGAAACCTGAAATTTCCCAAAAAAGAGAAGACTTTTCTTTAGTCAAAGTCTTAAAGACAATGGCAGCAATAGGATAAAAATAACATGACAGAGGATGAATAGCATAAAAAGCATTTGACATATAAAGTCACTTATTGGCCATATTATCTTGGACAAATCATTTGATCTTTCTAAACCTTGGTTGCTTAATCTCTAAACTTCAGATGGTATTAGAACTTCATATGACTTTTTTTAAAGATTAAAATAAAATGATTTTTGCAAAGTATGACATAAAACAAATCTTAGAAATAAATAAATGTTAGAGTCTCTCTGAAAGTATTGAGATGTATTTGTTACTCTGACTTCTACATAATCTGTGTAAGACTTCAAAAATGGGTTCTTACAACATCTAGTATATTACATAGGAATACTACATTCACTGTTTGCTTTCCCTTGAGTGTGTATATGTGTGTGTGTATGTGTATAAATATATATATACACATATACATACATACATATAGATGTGTGTAGGAGCTTTTAAACATAAATTATACCATTTTATGGGGTAGTTCCAAAAATGGTCTATACAGTGCCCTTAAAACTGAAAAAAAAAAAAGAATATTATTTGGCTTATAGTCATATAATTTTATGGCATTTAAGAAAAACATTTTGACAGTTTAAAGTAAACTAAAGGCTTAACCTCCCCAACCCCAAACCCAGCATTAAGAGATCACACCACAGAAACAATTTACCAGAAGAGATAACTACTATGATTTGTGTAGTAAGTTCAGTTCACAAGTTCTTGTAAGATACAGTATTAACACAATATGCTAGAATCACCATTTACCAAATAACAACTTTACCAAAAAAAAAAGGATGAAATTACTTCTCACAGATCACACTAATACATAAAAGACTCAATGACACCTAAAGTGAAAATTCAGGTTCACAAAACCAAAATTATCAGATTCAATATTTTAATTAATTGCTCCACTAGCCAAAATATACATTTCCTATTATGACAGAGGCCTTTGAAAACTGCCCCCTTTTCTGAATGGGAAGGATATAAGACTAAACCTCTGGACAAATAATCTCAGTATGACAAAATATTTCTGTATTATTGAAATGGACTTCTTCACTTGAGCAATTTCTCTAGTGTCCACATTTTGGCATCCTTCTAACCTAATGTCTTTCTACCACAAAATCAGGAACCAGAATATACTCTTGTTTTTCAGTAGGTAATCACCTCTTACCTATGTTGTGCAAAACCTATAATCCTTCTTTTCCCAATATCCTCTAATGCCAAACAGATGTGTTTGGGTTATCCCTGAATTTTGTTTCCCACTCCTGAGCAAACTTAATTACAGTATGGCTCTATTAGGCCTCATTTATATTCCAAAAAAATACACAAAATTTTGTGAATATTATTTGTAATTATAGTCATTGCTTCTGGGACCAAAAGAGCATTAATTATTTTTATGTGACAAAAGTATACTTTACAGTCAGCTGTAATTCATTCGTAAGCATATTTGATTCTGATTTGCTACATGTTAAAAAACTACAGAAATTTAAAGAGAAGATTAACGTGAACAGACATTCTGTTTAAGTAACTAATTCAGCATCCAAAGACAAAACGATAAGTCATAATAATTAACCCATGGTCAAAATTAAAAGTAAGGTTTAACTTTTTATGTCTTGCTGAGGTCAACTGTCAACATTAGAAATAAGAACATTTGGATTTGCAATCTATTCAGTCACTTGGGTAGAAATACGTGGCATCTTAGTGACGAGAGGGAAGGAACATATGTATGTCTCATACATGTACTCATACAACCATCTGAAAGAGTTATAGAATTTTCAAAGGTGAAAATAAACATGCAGATTACTGAATTTTAAAATTCTTCACTTTACAGATAAAGAAAGTGGGGCTCAGAGAAGATAAAGGGACTTTCCTAGGGCACATGAGAGTTCTTGGCACAGCCAGCACTATAACACAGACACCTGCTTAAGCTCTACCAAACTGCTTCTTGTGTAAAAAACAAAACAAAACCGAGAGATGGTAAGGCAAAAATGTTCCTACTGCACTGTTTCCCCACCTTCCCCTACCCCTAGGTTTAAAACATTGAGTGTACAATAAGGCTCGGGTACTGTTTTCAGCATTTCATATACACTTTCCAAATCACCTTTACATTTCACTAAATTTCACAAATACATTCCCTTCCTTTCTAGCTGTTTTATTAATCTGTTTCCATTCTGAGGATTGATTTTTTTTCTTTTTCATGATCCTGTTACAGATCAGTGAAAATTCCTAAAGGAGAAAGAATCCTATTTCTTCTTCTCACAATCAATTAGAATGATATATTTATGACACTTTCAAGGCTTAATTCTTATTTAACTTATTCTTTCCTGTATAAGAATATCTGAGTACTTAAGTATTCTTCAAAGCATTTTTCAGATGTGTATAATGAGGATCTGGGGGCTGGGAAGCAGTCTGGAGACTACTGAACCCAGCACGCCCACCTTGCAATTCAAGAAACTGAAGCCTAGCAGTGGCAACTGATTTATCTAGGTCCCACAGGTAGAGTGGGTAAAAATTCTGGTCTTCTGTTACACAGACCAGTACTATTTTTTACTACCGATTCTGTGAACTATATTTGGTATGACAGTTTACTCCTCTGGCACCATTCTGGGTTTTTATTGCAAAAGTCCAGGTTTTGTCTTTACCTGAAACTGTAGCCTGTAACAATAATTCAGATAAGATACTAAATAAACTATAATACTTAAGGATGTGGCATTATGGTTTTACAAAGGTAGCTCTTGTGTCTATTTTTTGAACACCTACTGATCCTTACTCAAATGTCTGACTGTCTGAGACCTCCTGTAGCATAGTTGGTCAGTTGGTTTCAATCATTCCAATAGCTCATATGGATTACTTTACTGCTATCCAGGCTGTGATCATCAGTTATGAGGATTAAGTTGGCTGCAATAGACTGACTATTCTTTGGGCCAGTGTCTCCACCAAATGAGCTAACAGAGAACAAAGACAAGGTGGTGGCTATAATTTCACTTTAATCACAAATCATCTAGATTAAAGGTTCATTCACATAGCTCATATCTGAGATAAGTGCCATTTCTTTATTTCATTTTTCCTATAGTGATCTTGTCTCAAAGTGTGGACAACAAAGAAATTACCAGTAGATTGTGAGAAATTCACTGTAGACGTTGCCTCAAAGAAAGTTACCTGGATTGCTTCTCCTATCTATCTGTTTTGCTGCTAGCAAGTATAAAGTTGTTTTAGTTCCTGATTCTTAAACATATATTAACAATGAAATTCGCCACCTGTATTCCATTCTATAGAGAACCAAAAATTTATAGTCTTGGCTTTGCTACTGAAATATTTTAGCAATTGAAATTCTGTAAGTGCTTTTATTATAACTTAGCATTGTTATACATCTAAATAACAGGAGACTGGTTACTTGTGCATTTGTTCAGGTACATTTTTAAAATAAAATAAGAAAATGAAAAAGGTTGTTCTATATAATAATTTTTCACAGTTTGACTTTCCATAAGGCTTATGAAATAATATACAAATAGCTACCATTCTGCTGAAATGTCACAGTAAATACATTAATGGCACAGAAGTGAAATGTCCCCAAATGGAAAACCATCTTCATGATCTCCTAAATCTCTTCCAACTAAAACTTTTTTTAATTGAAAAAGTTCCATTTCTAAAAGAATATAAAAATAGAAAATGAGTCAAGAAAACTTTTACATTATAATTTTGAAGGAAAAGTTATAAACAATAGATGGAATATTACAAGCATCTTTAAGAATGTGCTTTGTCTCACCATGCCAAACATCCCATGAAAACTAAATTAAATGAATATATCATACATGAACTGCTGAAAGTATAACTAAATGTGAAAGATTGATAGACCACTTAAACATATAATATGCACTAATATATCTTTGTAAAGTTAAGCTCCGCTAAAACCTAAAAGGCTAATTAGCAAATCTAACACTTTGAATTTAAAAAATAAAAGAATGCTTAATCAAGCAAGGCACATTCCTTTTAGGCAAGTCTGTCTTTAATACCATTCATTTGGGCACAGTGTAGACTTCACTTATTTATGTGAAAAAGGGCTAATATTCTATGTATGAGAGTCTTTGGTACAAAACACACCTTCACAAAAATGTTGTACATAAACCAGACACAGAATAATACGAATATATCTCCTGATTAAACACAGTTTGGTAATTAACTGAAAAAAAAGAAAATAGTAACAGCTGGCTTGTTAGAAACAAATATTTAGGCTTCCTTTATCCGCAGCACTGATTATAGTTTTTGGATGATTAGATTTCATCAAAAGGTTGAAATGATACCTTAATGTTTTTAATATCCTTTTGTAGCTCTTGATCAATCATTTATACTGCACACAATATGAAGAGACTCCTCCAACTTCAGAGTCATTTCCTTTATATAAAACATTTATTAGAGATATATTATTTAATGTCAACTGAAACAAAACTACGTGATCGCAGACAGATCATTCACTGTCCACTAGTGATGGAACTGCCACAGCATTCTTGATCCAGGCAAATGAAAACTGAGCATTGTACTGGTCAGTGCAGTTCTACAGTTCTTTATGCGGGGAGTTCTTCAAGGATCTGTCAGACAGAGCAAATATAATAATTTACTGTATATTTAGCTTTTAAAAACTACAGGCTTTAGAAAATAGTCAACAGAAAATGTTCCATTCGTGATATTTTTAAAAACTTTAGCTTTTTTTTACTGTTACCCTGAAAAGTTCAAGCAATTTAATTGTATAAATGTGTTATGTACATATTGAATGCTTTTAATTTATAAGTTAGAAAAGGTTTCAGAGTATGCTGAAATTATAAACTTTTTTCCTTTAATAATGATTCCCAGATTTAGTCCAAACCAATGTGTGTTTACTTTTTAGATAGAAAAATGTATCTAAATCCTCAGAACCACCTGAAAGGCTTTAGGTGCCCATTCATTTTAAGAAAAAATGTACTGTTTAATTTTCTCAATGCATTTCAAGAGTTTCCTTTCTGGTTGTACATCCTACTGTAATCTGTGATGAGAAGTCTTTTAAAGTGAATAGAAATTCAAAGCTCAGATAAGTGTCATGAAGAGAAGAGAATCTCAAAATGAGTACAGTAAAAAAACATGTTCTAGGTGCTATATTGTCTCTTCATTACAAATAACTATTTGATATATTGATTCTTTAAAATATGAACTTTGCACAGTTATGCACCATTGTAAAATATCACAAATTAAGACAGTACTCACCTGATCAGGGTCTTTGGAGAACCAAGAAATAAAGGTTAGAGGTTTGGTACTTCCCTCTCCCCAAAACAAACTAATACATTGAGAAATGCTGACAGCAAAGCATTTTTTAAAAACAGCATCAGGCAATATAACAGTCTTATCTGCTGCTACGTCCAGAATCTAGAGTGGTGTTTGGCATGTAGCAGACACTTTATATGTTGGGTAGATGAAGAAATCCCTATCACTCTGTATCGTGTCTGACACATAGGAGGCACTCAGTGAATACATGTTGAACGACTAAATGGAAATATAAAAATTATATTTATGTACTCTAGAAACTGACTAACTGTATAACATAAAGACAAAAACAGAAGTGCTATAACCTAGTTCCAGGTTTCGATATGTGAATATCACTCACCATAATACAGAGAAGATATTCCCATATATAGTCCTGGTTTTAGCAGGTGCCCCAAACAAGTGGTAAATGCTTAAAGATGGTGATCTTAAATTTGAATGTACTTTTGATGGAAGAAACAGTCACTCATTAAATTAACTACTGTATGCCTATGCTGTGCTGGGCAATCAATCATCTGCCTATTGAAAAAGCTTTCCTTAGTGGCCTGGATTATATCTGGTCACCTTAACACTGATTTTTAGGCAAAAAGCCACAAGAGTATATTCACAGTAGGCTTAATGTTTACTGTGAGAGTTTTAAAATTATAATGGTCTAATCATTATTAATAACTACTAATTACAAGAAATTCCAAGTAACACGAATGACTTGGCATCCATTTTATTATCAAAGGCCTAGGCTCTGCTCAACACTACTGCAGCCTTGTTTATCTTAAGATGTTTGCATTAAACTATGCTTGTCTTGCAGCTATTACATCCAAAAGGTTGGAATTTTTTTTTTAAACCTCATGCATCAATACTTTGCCTCTCAACGCTCTTTAGACTATTAAATAAGAATGGTATAGTGTGATATTTCAATAAACTATAGGTGCAGAAGCAGTTGCAATTCAACAGAAAAAGAAAAGTTATATCAGTAAGCAATTGCGGTGTTTATGTCAGTGGCTAAGATATGGGTTGAAAGGCTTAGAAGAATGGAATTAGTTAAGTATCAAAATCAACTATATTAAAAGGGAGAAAGAAGATATAATAGAAAATGATGACCTATAACAGAAGAGATTGAGCCAAATAAATGTTTTAGCATACAAAGCAAGAACAATAAAATTTGAATAACTATCCAGTTTTTGAAGAAGTAATTAATACCTCCACAAGGCCTAAATGAAAGAAATACAGAAATCCAACTTACCTAACTATTAGCTTCACTAACTTGTAGTTAATGAAGGGAGAGTTAAAATCATTCTATAATGTGTAGTTTTATGGGAATCTTTTTTTCATTTGTCTACACATTTACATCTATTAAATTACTTAGAGTTGGCTACATACCAATAAATTACACAAATCCTACCAACTATATGGTAATGAATAGGCCTGAAGACTAGAAAGATTTCTTGCTCAATTATGTACAGTTCTCTAATTGAGATCTTGAAAATTATGTTCTCCTGGCAAGGAAAAAAGCCTGAACTCACTTAGTAATTAAAGCTGATAATAGGCTAAGATGTGGGCTTTGGCAAAATTCTGGAATGTCAAGGAAAAATGAGCTGTGAGTTATAATCGACACTACTTTGAACAGTATTTAGGTCTCCTAATAATAAATATCCTCAGTTTATGTAGTTACACGGTAAAATAAACTTCTCTTTTTAAATCAGCTAAAATGTTTTCAGGTAACAGGTCTACAAAATCTAGGTATAAAGCAATTCAAATACAGTTCTTACATAGAGAAATTACTTCTGTCTGTGCTTTTGGGTTACCCTGTAAATTTTGCCCTTAAGAAATATGAGGCCAGGCTCAGTGGCTCAGCCTGTAATCCCAGCACTTTGGGAAGCCGAGATAAGTGGATTGCCTGAGTCCACGGGTTCAAGTTCAGCCCGGGCAACTTGGTGAGACCTCGTCTCTATAATACTAAAAAATTAGTCAGACATGGTACCGCGCGTGCCTGTAGTTCTGGCTACTTGGAAGGCTGAGGCAGAAGGATCGCCGGAGCCCAGCAGGTCGATGCTGGGGTGGCTATGAGCGTGCCACCGCTCTCCAGTCTGGGTGATGGAGTGAGACTTCAACTCAAAAAAAAAAAAAAAGGAATATGACATGTAGTCACTCTTGTTTAACATGCTTTTTAATTATAATTTCTCATAGACATAATGCATTAGTGACTATATGATATTTCATTGTTTTGCAGTCAGACACAAGATAAATACAAAATGTAATGGCATAGAAGGCTGTCTCTTAAGTGTCTCATTCTCTGACTAAACAAGGTTATACTAGAAAATCTAGTAAAAGTCACACTTAGTTAATAAATGTAAACAATGTCACAATCCCTTACCCAAAACCAGAAAAATTGAGAAAAGAAAAATATACATGTAAATTCTCTATTCTGTGTCATTTCTTTAAAAAGCCCTAATAACGTGTCCTCAGAAGAGAGAAATGATCTCTGGCCTATGTGGGCTTAACTGCATAAAGTGATAGAAAGAAAAAAGAGTTTCTAACTTCTGCTGGTTTACGTATGTAAACTCAGGCACATATGTTAGCTTTAATTTGCTGATACACTCAGTCAGGAAGCTGTACCACTTTGATGTGCAGAGGCAACAACAGTCAGGTCATTCTCTGTTCTGACATGCTTGAGAAATCCAGGGAAAGGAGAAAATTCAGAAGGGGTGTGGAGAAAGTTCCTCTACTCATATCAGGAGAATCTTCATTTCCTACTGTGGAAGAAAGCATATCAGCTGCAACACTGCATAAAACCATGGCAATATCTGCAGTACTCACATCGATGCTTTAATTAGTTTTAGTCATTTAATACTCTATGTGTTGATATTTCAAAGCCATTAGGAATCTCACAATACCAACAATCAAATGTTACTGGATTGCCAAACCAATGCTTATAGATTGCCTCTTACTTTCCATCTTATTACTCAGAAGCAGTCTAAGTATTGCCATTTTGTAAGAGTCACACTATGAACCTACTCTTATTTTTTGTGGATTAAATGTCATCTCCTTTCAATGTATGAACGAGCACTTCAAAAAGTAGCTGATTTTTGTGATCCTATTTTAAGCACAGCTTATCTTGAAATGTAATGACAATTACATTTAAAAAATAAATTATTTTGTAAAATAAATGGTTCTAGCCAGTAAGGCCATATCAATGATGAAGTAATTCTGTAATGTAAAAATCTCTAATGTCTGATTCAAACAGCCTCCATAGTAAAGAAGGCCCCATGGATTTATAGAACTCATCATTAACTAAGACCAAGGCTGAACTTATAGGGAAGTTTCTTAGAATGTCTGCTAAAGTATGTAAGACTTTTGGGGGTACCATTTGTTTGTTATGATTTTGCTGTGCCACTTGGGTCAATGAGTCAACATGTATATATTGAATATCATATAGAAAGAGTACTCTATTAGCTATTATGTAGGAAACGTGGTCTCTGTGAAGCACTGTAATTTCCAGGTATTCCTGGTGATTAGGTACCCTTGGTGATAACTCATATAGTGCTATATTTAAGTTATTTACATGAAGAAATTCCATCTCCATACTTGGGTAGTGCTTCTTGAGGAAAACTTGCTGGAGCCTCTTTTACCAAATGGAAGCCTTCTCCAGTGAATTGATTATAAGAAATTTTATCCCTAAGAGCATCACAAAAAGTAAAAGTCACATAGTGATTAAAATGAAGCATAGATGCATGACATAAAAATTTTGTTTATAAGTTAAAAGCGACTCAAATTGGAATGCAATTTCCTTCCTCTTATTTCTCCTTCCAATAAATACTTATTGAGCACCAATTGTATTGCTGGCACTATTCCAGGTCTTGGGGAATATAGCACAATGAACAGAAAAAAATCCTTGTCCTCATGGAAGGGAAGTAAAAACACAATAAACAAAATAAATGGCCAGGTGTGAAGTCATGCCTATAATCCCAGCACTTTGGGAGACCGAGGTGGAAGGATCACTTGAGGCCAGAAGTTGGAGAACAACCTGGGCAACATAGTAAGACTCTGTCTCTACAAAAAATTTTAAAAATTAGCTGGGCATTGTGGCGTATGCTTGTAGTCCTAGCTACTAAGGAAGCTGAGGCAAGAGGATTGCTTGAGCCCAGGAGTTGAAGGCTGCAGTAAGCTATGATGGCACCACTGCATGCCAGCCTGGGTGACAAAGTGAGCTGTAGTCTCTAAAAATGAATGAATGAATGAATGAATAAATATGTTAGAGGAAAAATTAAGCATAGAAAGGATACAGAGAGTGTTATGGAAC